TTTCTTAATTATTCACAATTAAAGCAGTTGAGAGATTATCAGAGTAATTATATCTTATAATATTTTTGCTGCATTGAATATATTTTCCAAATAATGTTTTCTGTGAAATAGACCATTCAAATGCTGTGAAATGTGTGGTTTCCTTTTAGGATGAATTAGAGGTAGCTAGTCTGAGGAGGTAAATAGTTATTGCGGTTGTCGTACTTAGTTGAAAATGAAATGACCATTCATTTAGAGGTGTTTCTTCACTCACTCTTGAAATTACACCAAAATACAGTAAAGATAATCCCCCCATGTAAAACCACATATACAAAGAGAACAGGAGAGGAGCAACAAAATTTTAAAACTTGTCTGATTTAAAGGAGACCCCAGAGCACTGAAATTCAGTCTCATAGAGTGAGAAGCCACGAAGCAACTCCACTGGCCCAGGGGAAGCCCCCATAATCTCAATAATTGATGGTAGTTACATGATATTCCTGAAAAGAGGAGAGAAGGGGTTGAAAACAAGCATTGGTTGAAAGTCTGTTTAAGATATGGTTAGGGCTTCAGATCTTCTCCCCCAAACCTTGTAGCAGGGCAATTGTCCCTTCTCTACTCTGGCATAAAACTGTATGGAAGAAGTAAGCGGGGCTAGGCATGGTGGCTCATGCCCATAATCCCAGCACTTTGGGAGGTTGAGGCAGGCAGATCACCTGAGGTCAGGAATTTGAGGGCAGCCTGGCCAACATGGTGAAACCCTGTGTCTACTAAAAATATAAAAAATTAGCCAGGCATAATGGCACACACCTGTAGTCTCAGCTACTCAGGAGGCTGAGGCAAGAGAATTGCTTGAACCTAAGAGGTGGAGGTTGCATATGGCCGAGGTTGCGCCACTGTACTCTAGGCTGGGCAACAGAGCAAGACTCTATCTCAAAAATAAAGTGGCAAGGGGGATGGATCAGAGGATCTGATTAAGTGATGCCACACATGTTTGAGTGTGGGTACTATATGGAAAATATGGAAATTGTGAAGATGGCTATAATAATTCCCATGTTCCTGTATATATATGTCTTTGCAATGCAACTTTGCCTCTCCTTCCATCAAGAAGTGAATTCTATTTTCTCACTTCTTCAATTGGTGCCAGTTTAATGACTTGCTTTGATTAATAAATTGTGGTAGAACTGATGTTCAGGTTCTGGAGCCTAGGCCTCAGGGAGTCTTGAAGATTTCATCTTCACCTTGTTGGAACTGTGGGTCTATCATGTGAGGAAACCAAGTGAGTTTCCTTAGGGGTGAAAGATTACATATGTGGAACTTGAGACACTATTAGAGTCATTGGGAAAAATCTGTGATAGATATATTAAATATTAACCAAATGAGTAGGAATGGCAGCAAGTAGTCCTAAAAAATGTTCCATGAAAAAGGAAACACAATCACAGTGTACAGTAGACTCAGCGTTGTTCAACACTTGCATACTTGGAATAATTTAAAGATATTTCATAAAAATTGGATGATATAATTATACTGAGAGGACAGGCAGAGAGAGAAAGCTTTGCTGACCCAGAAGATCTTATTATTATGTTAAAGATCTAAGATAATATCTAACACAGTAAGAAGTCAATAGATAATTTTTAAAGTGTACAATATAACATTATAAACACAATAATTAAGAATATAAAGATGGCTAGGTGGGGTGGCTCACGCCTATAATCCCAGCACTTTGGGAGGCTAAGGTGGGTGGATCATCTAAAGTCAGGAGTTCGAGACCAGCCTGGCCAACATGATGAAACCCTGTCTCTACTAAAAAAATGAAAAGTTAGCCAGGTGTGGTGGTGCATGCCTGTAATTCCAGCTATTTGGGAGGCTGAGGCAGGAGAATTGCTTGAACCCGGCAAGTGGAGGTTGCAGTGAGATCGCGCCACTGCACTCCAGCCTGGGTGACAGAGTGAAACTCTGTCTCCAAAAAAAAGACCTATTTCAACTTTGGGGAATGATTCTGGGTATAGGTGGAGGATTTCTGGTTTTAGTTTTAAAGCATCTTAGCTGTGACTTATTTATTTATATCACTTTGATAAAAATAAGAGTTTAGCGATACTAGAATTTTTGCAAATGACAGATTGATTTTGCATTTGGTGTTTTTGATAATCATAGCCATAAGAAATATAATTGTTTACCTCTTCAACTTTGTCTTGAAATTTTCATTCACAGGGAAAGTTTTGCCAAAATACTTACAGGAAGTTTGGGGATAAATAGACAGTGTCAGAATATGGGCATTTTATAGATCTATGACTGGTTTCTACAACGAATTCATCTAAACTTAATTGACCTTTAATGTGAGGACCAGTGAGTCTTTTATGGATGAGAATAAAGAACTACAGTAAATAAAGGAAAAGCGAATGGAGTCTAATCTTGGATAATAAAAGAAGTTAAATTGTAATCACTGATTTGAAATAAAGAAATGATTTAGGAGTTTCAGTTATATTGAAATTAAAAAAACAATCAGTTTTAAAAGGAAGCATTTTAATTTTTAGTAGACATAAAGAAAAATGCTCAGAGAATAGTTATAAAAGAAAGTGCTTTGGACTTGAAGTCAAGAATGTCCAAATTTGAACTTTGGTTCTGCCTCTTACAGTTTTGTGACTTTGGTGGTGATGTTCAACTAACCTCTCTCTCAACATTAAGTTTTCTATCTATAAGACAGGGATAAAAACACTAAATTTACTAGACTATTATAAGAACTATTTAAGATTATGTGTGTAAAAGCTCTTTACTGCACATTGACAGCATTACATAAATGTAGACTCATTACGAACATAAATCAAATTTTATCTTAAGTTCTTCTTTTAGCACCAGTTGCCTCGTGTAGAAAGAAAAATATTTAGTATTGGAAACAGCAAGTGACTCAGATGTTCAATGACAAACAAACTTTCAAATGAACTCCATAGAAAACAGGGTTAGAGTAGGGAGAAATTTCTGTTTTACTGTATCAGCTCTGTCAAATAGGAAGCAAAACAGGGTGAAAAAGGACAGGAAAGAACATTAACCTATGTTGAACCTTCAGTCATACAATAAGCTTATAATTATAACTTAAATAATGTATAAAAATTCAATTATGTAACATGCAGGATTTTGCTGTTGGGAGATTAATTAAATGAGATCGGGGGTAGGGAAGGTTGGGAGTTGATGACTCTTACATTTCAATTCTCATTATTATGGGGTTTTAATGTATTTCACAAAGAGTCAATCCTTAATACTTCAATTTTGGTAGAAAGTAGATTATTTTTTCCATTAATTCTTCTACAGTGCTCAGAAATTTATGAACGTCACAGATTGCTTATTAATGTTTTTGCTAATTCAATGAATATTTTCAAATATGATTTATTTATTATAAAAGTCAACATTGTATTTTGAATTAGTAACATATTCTCTGCTTACCTGCAGTTAGCTCCATCACCTTGGTGAGGCAGTTGTTTTGTTGTTTCTTCATTGTGTGTGTGTGTGTGTGTGTGTGTGTGTGTGTGTTTAGATTACATGGGCTTTTGGTAGTCTACCTGAGTCCAGTTTAAGCCCTCTACATTTGTGAACAAATGGCTTTATAAACAAAATAATTGCAAAGTGAACTCAGTCTTCACATGACATGTAAACTTATTATCAATTTGGTTCTTTTTATTTTGTGAAAAATTATGTATCTTTTTCTAGCTCACAGCAGACAAATGAATGAGCTGCTCAAAGCCTGCCTGGGTCAGTAGAGTTCCTTGGAGGTATTGCAGTTTCATTTATTTATAGTCTTTTCAGGTAGTTTCTGGTAATATGGGCCCCTGAATAGAATAAGGATTATAAAATTTACTCAAAAGATGCATCGGCCACTATGCTACTCTGAAAAGAAAGAGAGCATTGTGTGTTCTTTTGAACTGACAAAAAGCAGCCATATAGGAGCACTTTCCCCTCAGTTTAAACAGATTGTTTAGAAAAACTAGATTTTATGAAACCATCAGTATTGAACCTAAACAATAATGGAATCTTTGAGAAAATGTAATTAAAATATGAAATACTAGCTCACAAAATCAGTGTGCTTTATCATTATTCATTTATATTTTTAAATGTCAATGTTAGATTGTGGGACTAAATGGATTTTTGGTCAAAATATCACATTTTTAATGTTGCTGTTTAATTAAAGAAATTATTTCTGAAGAATTTACTTTTCCCAGTGACAGTCAGTATATATTGTTCATGTAGCAAATTTGAGACTGACTTAATAATATTATTAATAGCATATACTGCCTTTTTGGTGCCACACAATGTTTTTGCCAATACTAATTAATTTAATCCTTATCACTCCCCTATTAGGTAGCCACAGAAAAGGTAAGTGACCTATGCAAAGTCCCACTATTAATAATACAGCCTACCTGATTTGAACACAAGGAATCTAGCTCTAGAATTCTCTGTTATACTAGCTACCTCACCTAGATTTTCATTTTCCTCCTTTGTGTTCCTGAATTACCAATCACCACTGCAGACTGCTCTGCTCAGTGGATGGTTCTATGAATAAACACACACACACACACACACACACACACACACACACACACACACATTTACTTAGAAATATTCTGTTTTGGTAGGGAATCATTCTTTTTCTGCATATATTTATGATCTGCAAACTTTAGTGTTTGTGTAGGAAATGTTAATTTTGCAGATAACTGCTAGCTTATAGTGATTGCATTTTTGGCAATGGATTCACATTGATAACTGATTTTATTTTATTGCTTCACAGAGAACATTTGTCTAATAGTATAGTTGAAGGGCTGTTTTTACTGATTCAATCTAAAAGATGCATAGAAAGATTAAGATCATGGTCATTCTCCAATGATAAAGGCACTGTGACACATAGTAACCCCAAACACTGCTATTTAGGTGCTTTGCACTGTGTCAAGAATGCTAAATCAGTAAATGTCTTTTTACTGTGGAGGAACATAGTTCATGAAATTTCAGGTACTCTACTAGTATTCTGTTTTTCTTAGATGAATAATGTGACAACGGACTATTGTCTTGACATCATAAAGAAGTTTGAAGTTTCAGAAGAAAATAAGTTGAAAAATGTTCTTGGCATAGAAGGTAAAATAACGAATATTCTTAATTTCTCATTTCTTGATTCAGTCTGTTAAGTTAAATTCCAGCAAAATTTTTAGGAAAAGAAATCAGGAGATATCCATGGAATTATATTAATAAATAATTCAAATGAAACCTATGACACCAAATAAAACCCTGTCTATATATTTTCCTACAAAGCAAAGGCCATGATGTTGCTATTTCTCTTACTTTTGCAACACCCATAAGCATTTTCCACTTCAAGCAAGTCTACCTGATACTACTATGTGTGATGGATGCCATGACATATTTGGGCTTTCCTCAACTGGCTAATTTTTGGAAATAGCCTCAGCCTGATAATTTCATGAAGGGAAATTCAGTCCTAAAATAAGTTCTCTCAGAGACTAGTGACTTGCCATGTTTCTTTTTTTCTTTTCTTTTCTTTTCTTTTGAGATGGAATCTCGATCTCTTGCCAGGCTGAAGTGCAGTGGTGCCATTTTGGCTCACCACAACTTCTGCCTCCCGGGTTCAAGCAATTCTCCTGCCTCAGCATCCCAAGCAGCTGGGATTCAGGCATCCCAGCTAATTTTGTATTTTTACATGTTGGTCAGACTGGTCTTGAACTCCTGATCTTGGGTGATCTGCCTACCTCGGCCTCCCAAAATGATGGGATTACAGACATAAGCCACTGTGCCTGGCTGCCATCTTTCTTTTAAAATGATAGCAACTGACTGTTTTCCTAATTGGTAGCTTTGGAGAGGCTGTTGGAACCAAAAATCTCATTAATTCAATGACTTCATTTTATAGTTGAGGAAAGTAAGGCTCAAACAAGTTAAATAATTTGCTCACAGTTATATACTCAGAATCTAGCTCCTGGAATGTTAGACATAAGTAATATGGTAGAAATATAGCTACATGTCTATACATGTATTTAAAATATGCAGAGAAATGCTATGCAGGCTGCCACCGAAGAGGAGAATCTTTGAGGTAGAGGAGATGATCTTTAATGAAAGATCAGCTGCCTACAAGAGCATAAAAAGTCATGGTTTATCTCACCAGTTTTGACTGTTGGCCCCCTCATTTATCCTGCTCCCAGATCACTGTGGACAAGGTGGTTTTAATACCATCTGTTTACTTCCTGGGGTGGTAAGTAATTAAAATGAAGAGGAATATTTTAAAATCTTAGATAATTAGCAGGATATGGTGACTCACACATGTAATCCCAGCACTTTGGGAGGTAGAGGGAGGGGGATCACCTGAGGCCAGGAGTTTGTGACCAGCCTGGCCAACATGGTGAAACCCTGTCTCTACTAAAAGTACAAAAATTAGCTGGGCATGGTGGCACACACTCATAATCCCGGCTACTCAGGAAACTGAGGCACAAGAGCCGCTTGAGCACAGGAGGTGGAGGTTGCAGTGAGCGGAGATCATGCCACTGTACTCCAACCTGGGCAACAAAGTGAGACTCTGTCTCAAAAAATAAAATAAAATCTTATATCATTAAAAACCGTTTTAAAAGAAACCAGAGATGATAAACTAACTTGGGCCTTTTCTGTGCTAGGAAATGAATCTTTTCCTTGGTAGGGCTCCAAAAAATGGAATTAAATGTGGTTTCCTAAGTTATGGACATAAAAGTTGTCATGAAGAAATTAAATCTCAGAGGATATTTCCAAATATATTTTACCAAATGATTTTTGAAGACTTGAATAATTCACCCTAATAATTATTCTATTTAGGTACTTGTGAGCCATTAATGTATTTATTTGTTATATTAATGAAAACCTCTTTTACCGAGCCATTATATTTTGAAAGATTGTAAAAAAACGGATAGGGTTTTCTAAATAATCTTTAAGGACTATTTCAAAGTTATAAAATGTGCCAGCCATTAGCAGCATTTTTTCAAACTGATTTGATTGTCAAATAATTACACCCTGAATTTAGGCAGTGTTTAACTTTTGAGGTCTACCTTAACTATGGTACTGACTTTATTGTTTTTTAGATGAACTTAATAACCTGTCAATTGCTGGTTGATCAGGGCATCTCTTGGTATAACATGGCTTTATCATGGCATCAGTCACCCTGCACAAGCATAGCTTGAGTTCATTCATCACTAAATGGCTTGGCCCCTCTTCCACCCAGTCAAAATTCTTAAAAAGTCAATTTATATATATTTTTAGGTTATATTTAAAAAGCTATTCCTAAAAGTCATATTTCATATTTTGACATTGTCTACTTGACTGTATTAGGCTATTCTTGTGTTGCTATAAAGAGATACCTGGCCAGGGCCAGGCGTGGTGGCTCAAGCCTCTAATCCCAGCACTTTGGGAGGCTGAGGTGGGTGGATCATGAGGTCTAGAGATCGAGACCATCCTGGTCAATATGGTGAAACCCCGTCTCTACTAAAAATACAAAAAATTAGCTGGGCATGGTGGTGCATGCCTGTAGTCCCAGCTACTCAGGAGGCTGAGGCAGGAGAATTGCCTGAACCCAGGAGGCGGAGGTTGCAGTGAGCCAAGATTGTGCCATTGCACTCCAGCCTGGGTAACAAGAGCGAAACTCTGTCTCAAAAAAAAAAAAAAAAAGAAAAGAAAGAAATACCTGGCCGGGTGCAGTGGCTCATGCCTATAAACCCAACACTTTGGGAGGCCGAGGCAGGTGAATCACCTGAGGTCAGGAGTTTGAGATCAGCCTGGCCAACAGGATGAAACCCCATAAACCCATCTCTACTAAAAGTACAAAAAAATATTACTGGATGCAGTGGCACGCACCTGTACTCCCAGCTACTCAAGAGGCTGAAGCTGGAGAATTGCATGACCCTGGGAGGCAGAGGTTGCTGTGAGCTGAGATTGCACCACTGAACTCCAGCCTGGGTGACAGATCTTAAAAAAAGAAGAAAAAAAAAAAGAAATACCTGAGGCTACGTAATTTATAAAGAAAAGAGCTTTAATTGTCTCACATTCTGCAGGCTGTACTGGGAGCATGGTGCCAGCATCTGCTTGGCTTCTGGGGAGGCTGGAGGGAGCTTTTACTCATGGTAGAAGGTGAAGTGGAGGAAACACGTCACATGGCTTGAGCTGGAGCAAGAGCGAGAGTGGAGTGGAGGGGGCCATATACTTTTAAACAAACAGATCTCAGGAGAACTCATACACTGTTGCAAAGACAGCACCAAGCCATGAAGGATCCACCCTCGTGATCCATACACCTCCTACAAGGGCCCACCTCCAACATTGGGGATTCTATTTCAACATGAGATTTGGTGGAACAAATATCCAAACCATATGACTGACCTCAAGCAAATTTCTCATTGCTCCAGTTTTCCCCACAAGGGCTGTCCTGAGGGTAAATAAGTTAATCATTATGAACATTTTTTTTGACCCCTTTTATCCCTCTTAGAGCCATTAAGTATATATGCTTTGCAAGCTGTAGTAAGTTACTCTTTCTTCCAAAGGCTTCACGAACTTCATGCGTAGTCCTGCTTGTGACATATTTAACCCATTGCACCATGAAGTGTACCAAGACATGGATCAGCCACTCTGCAACTACTACATTGCTTCCTCTCACAATACATACCTGACTGGGGACCAGCTCCTTTCTCAGTCCAAAGTGGATATGTATGCAAGGGTGCTGCAAGAGGGCTGTCGCTGCGTGGAAGGTACGTGCAGTTTTTCTGAGCTCCGGTGTGTATTGGTGACCCTTTAATCATTCTGTTGAGTTCACTGTAATTAATGGAGACCTAAAACATGCTTTCACACTTATTAGTACTATTTTTCTGTCCACTGTAAAGTCAATCTTAACTCATAATTCTCTTTGGCTCCTTATTGTTCAATTAGGAGGGAGAGATATGTATTAGCAGTTGTGAAGCATACCTTTAGTTGCTGAGAAATCATGATGAAAATTAAAGACTTCCTAGAAAGATATTTTTAATTATGCAATTGCAAAAATAGTTTAGTATCTTTGTTTTTAAGATACTTTCATGGTCTATCAATTAGCCAACATTTATTAAATTTCTAGTGGGTTCCAGGTGGTGAGTATGCAGAAGTAAGTAAAATAAGAATTCTGTCTTCAGGGAGTTCACGGTCTAGTAGAAGGGATGAACATTTTTTAAAAATAGTATAATCCAGGCATGGTATTGTACACCTCTAGTCTTAGCTAACTGGGAGGCTGAGATGGGAGGATTGCTTGGGACCAGGAGTTCAAGGCTGCAGTGTTCTGTGATTGTGCCTGTGAATAACTATTGCATTCCTGTCTGGGCAACATAGTGAGACCCCATCTCTAAGAGATAGAGAGATGAAGAGATAGATAGATAGATAGATTAAACAGTGTGAAAATTTCACCAGTTAGTCAATATACAATGATGTAGAAGTGGTGGTATGGAGAATGAAGTGCAAGGTATAACGTGATGAGAAATCAGTTAGACTAGGAAGGGAGCTGGGGGTCAGCTATAAAGGGTTTTAAGTGCTGTGGAGAGGAATTTCAATTTTAGTTTTTGGTAATAAGGGGCCAGTGAAGGGTTTTAATATCTCTAGTGATACGATCAGACTTGCAGTTTAGAAAGATTAATGACTTGGGCAACAATGTGAGAGGATAATTTTTAAAGTTTTTTTTTTTTTTTTAATCATGGGTTTGTGGAGGGAGAAGAGAGGTGAAACTGGAGGCAGGAAGGTGGTGGGAAGGCTATCACAGTGAATCGAAGGGAGGATTACAAAATCTTGGACTAAGTGAGAAAGAGATGATTATAAGGATGCAGTATTAAAGAAGTAAACTTAGTGGAACCTGGTGAGAGAAAAGAATGAAAGGAATGAAGGGAGAGCTAGAAGGTTGGTGCCACCCCATACTGTAGGGAATCTTAGAGGAGAGCCTAAATGAGTCCAGTTTTCCATCTGCTGAATTTAGGGTGATTTGGTAACATGTACGTGGACATCTTTATTAGTCATTTGGATAACAATGTCTGAACTTAATGGAAGAATCTGGGCAAGATAAGGATTCCAAAATGCTGAACTTAGTATGTGGTAGTTAAAATCATGAAAGTGTACAAGATCACTTACAGAGAGAAGGGGAAAAGGGAAAGACCTGAGGACTTCAACGATCCAATGATTAGGAGTAGGAAGCGCGAAGAGAGCCAGCAAGGAACAGTGCAGAGAACAGGGGCACTTGGATCTAAAGGATGAAGGAGTTAGACAGGAATGGCGAGAAATGCCACAGCCAACAGAAAAGTAAAATAAAACTAAGTATCCAATTTAGCTGCATTTGTCAGCTGGGAATTGTTGGTGGCCTTTGCTGTGTAGGTTGGTGGAATGTTAGTGGGCAGTTGATTACCTGCTGTGGGTTGGTGACTGGACATTTTTCTGCATCCAAATGCTTGATCTACATGCTGTGGGGGCAGTTTTTAGACTTGGAAGTGGGGGAAATAATATAGATTTGTTTTCAGGTGGGATAAAAAGAACAAGAGATTTTTGAAAGGGTGCATGCCTGTTTTCTCAGAGAAGTAGGAGAGCGCATCATCCACTCAGTATAAAGTGAGTGGAGGTTGGCCACAGGGCTTAAGATCAGCAAATTGTTAAAGAAGTCATTAGAGAATGGGAAAGGAATTGACAAGGTAAGTCAGGGAAGACCAAGCTAATTTCAGAAACCGTCTTTACTGATTCAAAAATCTGGATGTTTAGACTCCCTCTGATCCCATCCCCAACAATACTCATCTGCTTAGATAGAGGAGTGAAGACAGATTATAGAATTGATCCAAGGCTCGGGATTTCTAGGTATCTTTAAGGTGTTGATGAGAGCTCTTATAAGTAACTGACAGGAGCTCCATGATTTTAGGAAAGGAAGTGAAAAGGATAAGGGGCTATAAAATAAGATTAAGATACTGGAAGACTCAAATAAATAGGAAAATGTAGAAAGTTGTCATTACACATAACAAAAATGAGAGCAGAGAGCTGTCATTGCAAAGGGATTTAGTTACAGGTGCTGACAATATCCAGATTGTGTCATGGGTGAGCATTACAGAAACAGAGTAAAGCAAGGAGGTCAGTGCTCAGGGATTAAATAGATCGCTACATGGTTTTTTAACTTAGACAGGAACAGATTGGAGATTAAAAACTCTTAACCAGATACTTAAGTATAAAAACAATGTGGCCAGGTGGAGTGGCTCATGCCTGTAATCCCAGCACTTTGGGAGGCTGAGGCAGGCCGATCACTTAAGGTCATGAGTTTGAGACCAGCCTGGCCAATGAAACCCCATCTCTACTAAAACTACAAAAATTAGCTGGGCCTGGTGGCGTGCATCTGTAATCCCAGCTACTTGGGAGGCTGAGGCGGGAGAATCACTTGAACCCAGGAGGCGGAGGTTGCAGTGAGCTGCAATCACACCACTGTACTCTCCAGCCTGGGTGACAGAGTGAGACTCCATCTCAACAACAACAAAAAAGAATACTATAGAAAAGGTGATTGGAAGATGCCAGAAAGGTATAGCTGGATGGAATAAGCTTCAAAGGAGAAGAGATTTTTTTAATGAGTATAGAAGAACAATCACTTAAAAGCAGCATTAAAGGCCTAGCTAATGCCTTCTGGTTTATATATAAATCTTCTGTGATTTACATAAAAGAGCATCCTTGGAGAAAGGATATTGTCTTCCAAGGTAAGCTGGTGTTTAGCCAAGGAAAGGAGGTTGAGGGAGAATTCTAAAAAGAGTCTGAAGATAAAAGGGAGTTTGTTTATGGTTAAATGGAGATGCCATGAAGCATAGGGAATTGTCTTTTGGTGGGGAGTGTGATGGGAGTCAGCAGTGGGATGACTGTTTGTCCTAGGCATGGTGGGAAGTGTAGGGCAAATGAATAAAGCAGTAGGACAATGAGATAAGACTGCTTAACTGGAAGTACCTTTCTTTGTCAGATAGTTTCTAGCTTGAATTTTCTGCTACAAAAGTGACAGTAATGTTATTAAGATAAATCAACATGCTTAAAAAATAGGTATTAAAAACTACCTGCATGCAGAAGCATTAGGATGACTACAAAATGAATCGTCTGGAAATTTGTGTCTTTCAACAGTAGTTTTGCAATAGTTGCAGAGAATACATATGAGCAATAGTGATTAACAATTGAGTAGCTTGAATAACTGAATAATGAAGATGCTATAAAATATTAACAGGAAGAAAATCCTTTCAAGCAATAACAGTTCTTGAGGTGACATTCTCTCTCAGCCATTATTCAGCCCTTTGTTTGCTCAGCACTCAACAAGTTTCACATATCTGGCATACATAGAGATGCCCTGGGTATACAGCCTCATCAGATTCACACTGATTGCCTATCCTTGTAAATGGTGACATTTTATTGAAGGTCAAGTATGGAAGATGATGTTTAGTGACTCTGTGAAGTAATAGTCAACTCTAGACAATTTTACAACTTTGTTACTTCTGTCTCTTCTGCTCTATTTCTTTTGCTTTTCAGTTCCTTCAGATACCCAGGCTTCTCTTTTTGGTTAACTTGTCCAAAATCAGTATCCTACCCAAGCCTAACGATGTTTCTGTCATTAATTCCTTATACTGACTCAAAACTTCTAATCCTCCAGGTTTGTTTGGGATATTAAGAAGTAAAGTTATCTGATTAACTTAATTTATGATAAAGTACACATTATTTTTAGTTGTAGTTTTTCCAGTAGTCTTTTAATTCTAAAATGGGAGCTTTTAGAAATTGTATGCAGTAGATGACATTGAACAAGAGCCTTCTCTTGTACCTTCTTACTTCCTGTTTTCCAATCACTGCTGTAATACAAAGAAGCTACTTGGCTCTGTATGTCCAAAAGGTTACCTTCTCCAGATACTTGTACAAACTGAGACTATGCACAGCTATGGTGTAATTTTAAAGGATATGCAGTTTTTTTATGTGCTCCCAAATATCTTCCCCACCAGTTTGCATCAGTAAATTCTTTCCCTAGTATTTGGCTTAAAGTTATTATTAGAATAATCTAGAACTGGACCGTGAAAGTTGAACTACTATTTCTGGAATGTTTTTCTTAAGGAGAATAATTATATTTATATCAGAGACTTGGTCAGTTTTGCATTTGACCTATTTCTTTTTGTTTGTTCATTTTGTTTTTGTGTATTTGACCTATTTCTTATTGGAAATTGTGGTTGTCACCTTGGATTTGAATGTATTGTAGGAAGGAAAAGAGGAACTATTATGATTTTAGCACCTTTAATGGGGTAGGTCCTGGCTAACTGTTTTCCATGCATTCTCATTTAATTCTTCTAACACCACCAAGAAAGATGGAATAATCTCCTCTTAAGAGATTCAGCTCAGAGTTAAATAAATGGCTTAAGTTCCCCTAGTTAGGAAGCATAGAAGCTGAGATTTGAATCCAGGTTGGTCTGACTCTCCAACTGCACTGTTCTCCAGAATGTCTGTGTATTTTTAGAGGAGCAAGCATTGAATGACATGACTAGCCCTAAGGAATTGAATGAGGCTGTCAGGTCACATAAGGAGGGCTAGAGAAAGTGAGGAGCACCATATAGAGGGGATGTTGGCATAAAAAGGGGAATTTGTTTTGTTGATTATTAGGCCTACCACCTAAATATTTAGATGTTCCTGAGGGCTTAGCATTTGGTAACATGATTTCTGTGGTCCTCCTAACAATTTTGCTGTCAGCCCTGAGATTTGA